GAACCAATGGCCTTCAACCTAAAAGCGATGGCCTCCAACCTAGAAGCGATGATCCGCCAGAATTCAAGAACTTGAGGCAATCCATGGGATATCTTTAGCACCTCGATGCCATGTTCTGGGCCAAATGAACCCATGCTGCTCGGAAAATGAAACCCAAAAAATTACTGATTTTTGTTCACATGCAAAGTGTCAGAGAAAGAACTATATGTGCACCATGCGATAGACTCAAGGCAATTCAAAATGGACCTATACCCATTTCGGACCATGTGTGGTATTGTTTACTTGGTTGACGCTGCATGAATCCCATGCCCGTGCCTCACCTACAAAGGCCGGGGCGCCAGTGGAGCACTCGAGCCTGTTTCTCCTAGCGGAGCAGCCAATCACGCTAAGCTACTTTGGGGGGATACCGCCGGTTTTGCAAGTTATCACACAGGGTGAAACCATCTACAAATTCCAAGGTAGGCCAACCGTGGGCGCTTGTATATCATTACAAAATCTCATAAATCAAAAACCATCGAATCTAAAAAACTGAACACTTCCAAGGACACCCCAAGACAGAATTCAGGAACACATTCGTTCAACGAACACTAAAGACTAAAGACCCCCTGACAACGGCTAAAGTGAGGTAAACCGAAAGCCCAAAAAACAAAAAGACATGGCAGTCCTCGGAGTGCTTGCAGCACTTGGCCTAAAGCGAGTTGTACTTGTACTTCCGCCGATGTTGACGATCATAGCGCCGATGCTGACGGCGGTTGCGGCGGTTGTACCTGGCGGCCGCTCGCACGCGCGGACACTAAGAATGAAGCTCGAGTCCGAACTGAAGTGTCGGTCACCCCCCGTGGCTTAGCAACGTGAAACCTGCATTGGACACACCATACGGCTTCACACCTTCAACCACAGCCAAGATGTTGAAGGGTTAAGTGGTGTCCTTGAGACACAAGATTCATCTTTGGTGAAGTTGTGTGGGTGGGTTAAGACCCTGACACCAAGGGATGGCAGAAAGGAACGTGAGCTTGGCGGTGGTCGGTTTCCAGAAAGACTCGTGAGACTTTGTCTTGCTTGCCATGAAGGTGCATTGGGCTCCAGCTTCAACACTAGAACACTGCCAACTGGAACCACAACTCACTGCCCACTACCCGGAAGACGCAGCCTCAGAAGAGAACAAAACGAGAGGAAGTAAAGCTGAGCTGTGCTGAACATCCTCCCTACGTTGACGCCGCCGCCGCTTCCATGAAAATCCAGATGTCCAAATACTTTCCCAGCGGTTGCAGTTCAGGCTTCAACTTTGCCTTACTGCAATATAGTGCGTGCCCATGCAACGCACAAGATCGGACGGACATTCTTTGGAAGGGGTCATGAAAGTTGAGCATCCCTTGCATCCAAGGGCGATGACTGTTGAGCCTCTGGACCTCCAGTTAACCTGTCTATACCTTCAACCTGGCGATGGCCGAAGAGACCGGAGGCGAACAAGGTGAAACACACCCTGCTAAACAATTTAAAGACCGAGAACATGGCAGCTTCGAAATGCTCAAGCCCTCACAACATTTGCTTAGGACCGCGGGTTGCTGACTCCTTGGAATTCAGACCAAATACTTTAAGAATACCGACACCCATATAGTCTAAATAATTTATATAAATAAATATATATATATATATCAGCATACCTTTTACAAAGAAATCGGCCCAAGAACCTAACCCCAGACTCCGAGTTATTGAAAAGATTCAATAAGAATCGAACATGTCAACAAGACCCTCTCATTTCAATAACTATTGTAAAATTTGTATTATACACAAATAAAAAGTAATTGGTTTGAAAGTTGCCAAAAATATCGGGCTTATTGGTTTGTGAGGCGCAAGCCAATAAGGTGTCTTATTGGTTGGTGTTGCGCAAACCAATAAGAAGTTTTTGGCTTACTATGTCATACTTTTGACAAGTTTTCTGGCTTGATGCCAGGAGGTGTTTCTGGGAGGCTTTGTACAAGCAAGGCTGGTGACCCA